CCTGCCTCGGCCTCCCAGAGAGCTAGGATTACAGGCGTGAACCACTGCGCCCGGCCATAAACTTTTTTTTTGCTTTGTAAACAGTAGAGTTTTATACAAAGTTTTGCACCTTCAAAGCTATTACTCCAATAAAGACACTTATTCATTTAAATAAAACATCTTAAAAATATTTTAACAATGTACAAATACATTCACAACATAATCTGCTGATTAAAAGACTCCAATAAAATTTACAGTACCTACAACAGAATTTACAGATGCCTACAGATTGTAGGCATTGTAGATCGGTTTAGTTTACAGTTACATATGTTGCTTTAAGAAATGCTATTAGTACAAATGCATGATCTAAAACATCCCTATTATAGCAAGAAAAAAAGATTCATAAAATAAAATGTTTTTTAGGCATTTATTATGCCAAGATTATTCTCATTATGACATAAGAATAATGCTCTTTTAGTGATAAAAGATAGATTTTTTTTAGCCCAAGGACTACTGAAGAGTTTCCAGGAAGTTCCAAAGTAAAATCTGGCTATCCTTTCTGTAAAATAAATAGAACAGCAGCAATCTCTTAAATGTAAATTATGAAGATTCCTTTTATGTTAATTGTGCCTTACGTAAATGACTTACTATGAATAAAAATAAACAAAATTTTAGAAACTAGGTAATACCTCTGGCCTGAATTTGGTTTTTACTTGTGAATATCTAAGAAATTCCACCATGAAGTATGTGTTAAAAATTAACAATTATTTTGAACAACGTAGGGCAAAGTGCTCACTTTTACCATGAGAGCAAAACTAATGAAAATAATCAACAGAAATAATATGTAAACACATAGAGCTTTGACATAGACTAAAAACATCTTCCTATGTTCTACGAATCAAAATGCGATGGTCTCCGTAATATATGTAAGTGAACACACTTTCATTAGTTTGGGATACATTGATACTGAATGACTGTGTGCACATATGTATACCATAAAACAAATTTTGACAATGTTTCTAGTGACAGCATACTTTCTAGCCCAAACTGCTAGAAAGAAAATAAAAACTTAATGTGAAAATTACTTTTCTTTTTTTACATAAAATTGTTAAATGGAAAAACAAACCTAACATTCCTTGTTGAAACATGGACTGAGCTTTAAAAGGTTCAGAGTCAAGAATTTCTCCAAATGTTCCTCAATGTAACAAAACATATAAGCTTTCTCCCTCTATTCGGGAAGTCTGATCACCTCCAGTGTCCTGTTTTAAAAACTGTTTTCCCAGATATGAGGTAGCCATGCTGGTGAAATTCTTCCTGCTGCCCACTTGACACCTGATGTAATCGCATAGGTTGGCACCTTGGAGCACCACACCCATGATAATCACTGCCAACCAGTTTTATTCTGAAGAATAGGGCACTAAAGGCAAATATCACCCACAGCACTGGGCAGACAATAAGTCCTAACCAAAAGATTCTTGTTTCGGCCTCTGAAACAGTTTTATTCTTTTAAAGGGATGCCTTCCTGAACTGAAACACCCAATGGCTCTTTCCATCTTTATCAATGTGATTCTACCAATGTAGGTCAACCATTAGTCTACTTGTGACATTCTTCACTGCCCAAAAGTCACATGACAACAAGATAATTATCACCATATAGGCAATAAAGCTGTTGCTGAGCAATTCACAGAGAAAATAGACTATAATTGCACTGACTTGAAAGAGTAAGTGGAAAAATGATGCCACTGGGTGTCTAATTTTGGATTTTTTTGGTCTAATAATTGTCTCCTCTTCTGCATCAAACAGTGAAACATCTTCAGTGTCATAATTACTGCCCTCCTGCAACATGACAGCCCTGTGTCAGCCCCTATCATAACATTTTTATGACATTTGGTACAATCTGGCTGGACTATAATAGAGGATATGATATATAATGAGACATGGTGACTGTTCAACCCACCCACTTATGTTTGGTTCTATAAACATATCTGTTGTACTAGATCCTAGACTTTCTTCTCATCTCATAACCTCCATGGAATCAGAATTCAGAAATATTTTCAAGTATTAACTATAACTTATAAACAAATAATCTTTTTTCCCTGAATTTAGTAATAACTAGGAACCATTTTAAAATACCTGTCCATCATTGAAACTACCATTTGATTTATCAACAAATATTTGAGACTATTCTAAGTAAATTTTTTATTAATAATGCATTAAATCTACAACAGGGTCTCTTTAGGATTTCCATATGTGCCAGAAGGGGTTTAAAAAAAAAAGGATTGTGACACAATTTCTTTGCTTACTTGGTATCAACAATGCCCCTGTTATTCTATCATTTATGATAACTGGAAATTTTATTTTGTCATTCTTTTCTAAAAATACACAGGGGAATCTGTACCAGAATACCAGATGGCTTTTCAGACAGAAGTTGGAAACCATCCTACTTTTGAGGATATGCAGGTTCTTGTGTCTAGGGAAAAACAGAGACCCAAATTCCCAGAAGCCTGGAAAGAAAATAGCCTGGTAAGAAAAAACTAAATTATTAAAAAGAGGGCTTATAACTAAATATGTTTTAATGTTGTTTGAAGCAAAAATAGACTGTTAATAATGTTACTAGTTTTTAGAGCTGCTTAATGCCAGAAATTGAATTTTATGATGTTATATATTTTCAATTTTTTCAATATTAAAAAAAGACCCTCTTTTTTGGTTCAGTTTGGTTTTTTCCAAGTATAATATACTATTTAGAGTGAATAACTAGTATGTCTGAGGTTTGCCAGATTGGATAACAGCTGGAATAATTAACATGTTAATATTTTAAACATTATTGAAATTCTGTCTTATTCTCTTGAGAATAATACCAAAAATGTTAAGTAGTGCAGACTTATGTATCCAATGGCTATGAAAAATTTAGGCTAGACCTAAAAGAAACCACAGGACAGCCTATGAATTCTGCTTATTTAACATGTAGTTTACATGTAATCGTAGCATTTTGGGAGGCTGAAGTGTGAGGATCACATGAGGCCAAGAGTTCAAGACCAGCCTGAGCAACACAGCAAGAACCTATCTCTACAAAAAAAATTTAAAAATTAGCCTGGCATGGTGGCACACACCTGTAGTCCCAGCTACTTGGGAGGCTGAGGCAGGAGGATCACTTGAACCTGGGAGTTAGAGGTTGCAATGAGCTAAGATGCCACTGTAGTCCAACCTGAGCGACAGAGCAAGACCCTGTCTCAGAAATAAAAATGTAGTTTACAGCAATGAAATCTCTTCAAAGGCTCCTACCATTTGAGTAAATTGTTGTTACAACACTGAAATATCTTACAAACATTTACATATACACACACCATACTCATATAATTTTTTAACATAGGTAGGATCATCTAATTATCCATTGCCATTTCTGATTTTTTTTTTACTTAAGGACAATTTTTAATGTCAGTACCTATAGATGTATTTATTTCTCTCCATTTGGTCAGTGTGTTATTGATAGAGTCATGTAATCATTCATTCAGTGTAATATTATACTCTTTATTAATGAGAGTGCCTTGTATTTATTTTTTAAATGATTTTTTAAAAGAATTAAAGTTATGCCTGTATACATAGTAAACACAATCAAATTAAACAGGGCATAAAAAAAGGAAATGGAAAAGGAAAAAACTACCTACCCATACTGTCACTCTCCAAAAGTAACTCCCTTTAGCAAGCTTCTGGGTTGTTTTCTTTTTTTCTTCTTCTTCTTTAAAATCTATTCTTATTCTCTAATAAGAGTTCGCCCAAAACTGGGGAGATAATTTACCCTCTCCCAGTTTTGTCATATTCTATTATTAAATGATTTATGTTTTGTCTTCAGATCTAAAAATTTAAATACAATAAAAACATCATAATTTTTTAGAATTATGATGATGTAAGCATTCACTGCACAACAAAGTATTGTGCTTGGATTCATAGGAAATAAAAATCCTGCATTAGTTACTAAAAGCCCCTGTGACTTTGTGGAGAATTTGTCAAAAGTCATCATCCAGTGGATTGTCTTTGATTTCTTGTCATCATTCTTTTTCTTTCTTCTTTCTGGGCTCTGCTCAGAAGCAACATTTTTTAAAAATCTCATGTCATTCTCTTTCTTGTAAATCATTGTTTCTTTGTTAAATTCCTCCTTAAGTAATGTATATATTATAGTATGTGTGTGGGTGGTAAACATTATGAATCCTTTCATGTTCAGAAATATTTTTTTCTTGCCCTCACATTTGAATAATAATTTGGCTGAGTAAAGGCTTCAAGATCAAAAATATTTTCCTTACAACTTTGAAACCACTACTCCATTGTACTCTAGCCTCCAGTCTCCATTGTGCTCTAGGCTGTACTCTCCAGTCTAATAAGAATTTAGGTGCCAGCCAGAATCATTCCATTGCTTTTCGTCTTGTTATATTTTTGTTTTATCCTCTCAAGTTTGTTCTCTATAAGCTTTTAAGACTTTTACTTTATTATCGGAATTGTGAAATTTCACTTAGATGTACATAGGCGTGGATCTTTTCACACATTTTGCTTGGCACTGGATAGGTTTTTCAGTTTGAAAATTCAAAACTTTCTTCAATTCAGAGAAATTTTCTTATATTATTTTTTAAGTGATTTCTCTCCTTTCATTTCTTCTTTCTGGAATTCCCATTAGGCAAATATTTGACCACTTAACATTCCGGGGATCAATTTTTTTGTGTTTCTCCACTTTTTTTTTTTTGTTCTACACTCTTCAAGATTTACTCAGCTTTGCCTTTCAAATCACTCATTCATTTTTCACTATTACCATTGTATCAGTTATCTATTCATTAAATTTTTAGTTTCTGCAATCTTATTTATATTTCTAGAAATTCTTGTTTGTTTTTTCCACAGCAATCTGTTATTTTAAGAATATAATAAGAATTTGATTAATCCTGAAGGTGTTAATTAGATTTTTAACACTTTATACAAATTAATTTTCTTGACTATAAAGGACAAAAAATGAAAAAAATTAAGCAATTCAAATCATCAAATCATCCATATAGTTTACATTTCAATTTTAGATTGTCTTAGTAGGATTAGAATAGTATTTTCATTCTGGATCCTGACTTAAGTGGAGTGGTGTCACATCAGAGAGAGTCTAGAGAGACATTATATGTTTCCACACAGATGTGTTGTAGATTGAACATTATCTTCATTTGTTACTTTTGTCAGTAGATTACCTTCAAGGTTGGCTTTTGTTAAAAATGAGATTGAAATCTTCTTCAAGTATGTGGCAATTGAAGAGCTAATTGCCAAGCACATATGCTCAAGATTGCCTCCAAACTACAGTCCCTGCTATGGGAACTGGGACAGATCTTTAAGAGGTCCCTGATATCAGGTGAGAGACTGAATACTTTACCAGAATTCATCAGAGCTGTCAGTTTCACAGTAGGGTATCCCTAAAAGAAAAATCTCTGTGAAATTTTATTCTAGTAAAATGCAACTTCATCCTCCTTGAATTATTTTATTTCACCAGAGCAAATAGGATCTATTATTTTGAAAGATCTCTTGACAACCCTACCATTATGGGATATGCATCATATGCATATTTACCTAAAAACCTTTTATTTCCAATATAGATTAGGTTGCCAAGTAAGGGATTCATAATACTTGGTTCACTTCCAATGAGTCCATTTAAATCTAATGTGCTACAGTCAATATACCGCTTCTCTGTAGTGACAGTCAGTACCAGAGTTAGGTAGTAAGTGCACAGTTTATAAAAAGAGAGAAATGCAGCTCTGTCTAAAAAAGGCATTTTGCTTTCATAGTTGCATTGCAATTAAAAAACACTTTTTTACTGGTAAAACTCAAAATCTTTCATATATTAATGAATGTAAAAACTAGTTTTAATTTTATAAACTGTTAGGAACTCAAGATGAGTTGATAAAGGGGGGAAGAATAGTTTCCTGATAAAGATCAAATATAGAAAATACAATAGTCTAACCATAGTTATCTCTGAGTATTGGGTTTATGAATGACGTTTTCTTTCCTATACGTTTCAGGCTTTACAGTAAAAATGTACTACTTTAACAATCACACACACACACACACACACACACACACACACACGCAGAATTTAAGACTGTTGTTTTACATTAAGATATTTTAAATTGGTAAAATGAAAGGTTATAAGCCAAGTTTACTTTTAAAATAGCTTTTTTTTCTCATACATAAAATGTCCTGGTATAATTTGTTCAACTGTTCTTAATGTTTTTTATTCTTTTCCAAACATTTATCCTCCATTTCTTAGTCTCTCGTGAATGCTGGCTTTCTCTCTTTCCTCTGTGAAAATCACTTGTCTGGTTTGTCTTTATTCCTTAGTCTCAGTTTCATATAACCTTCTTTAACCAATGGTTTTTATCTTAAAATATTTTCACATAAAAGTTTGGAACTCTTCCTCAGTTCATTTTTTCCCTCTAGTCTTTTCTTTTTCCACCTATTAATCCAGTCTTCTAAAATATACTATATATTGATAGAAACTACCGGTTCTTTTCATATATTTTTATTTTTTCCATTTTCTCTTTTTGACAAAATCTACAGATTTTTTCTGCAATCTAAAATTCAACTTTGTCCATACTTTTTTTTTTCCTGACCCAACCTACATTAAGAAATATAATACGAGTTCAGCTGGGTGCAGTGGTACGCATTTATAGTCCCAGCTACTTGGGAGGCTGAAGCAGGAGGATCACTTCAGCCCAGGAGTTCAAGGCCGTGGCGTGGCGTGATCCCACCTGTGAATAGCCATTGCACTCCAACCTGGGCAACATAGTGAGACCTCCTCTCTTTAAAAAAAAAAAAGAAGAAGAAGAAGGAGGAGGAGGAAAAGAAAAGAATACAATTTTATATCATGTTATAAGACAATACTTCACCTTACTACCTACTCTGTGTCTACCTGGTATTTTCTGTTCTGGTCCGGAGTATTTCAGTTTTGGGAGAGATAGAGTTGTTTGTTTTAAATGCTGATCCCAACCCAAGAGCCCTAACTTGCATTTTCCTTCCTTTACATAAGAAAGATTTAAAAGTTCCTATCTATCTTTCCTATTCTTTTTTTTTCTTTTACTACTAGTCTTTCCTCATCAGTGTTAATAATAATGATACTCCCTTTAACTCATTTACTCAAATGTTAAGATACATTACTTATCTATTTCTAAAGTCCCTTTTCAAGGCACTCAAAAGATTTTGCCTGAATATTTATATTTTTCTCCATTCTTATTTATTCTTCTCAAAAATTTCAAACATTTAAAGAGGTAAAATTGATAAACTGCACATATTAAGATGTACAATTTGATAAGTTTTGATGTATGTATACACCCATAAAACCATCACCACAGTCATGATTGTGAATATGTCAATTACCCCAGCAGTTTTTTTGTACCCCTGTCCTTCTTTTTTTTTTTTTTTTGAGACAGAGTGCTGCCTGGGCTAGAGTGCCATGGCGTCAGCCTAGCTCACAGCAACCTCAAACTCCTGGGCTCAAGCAATCCTCCTGC